AGTTAGGAGCAAGCTTTAGGATGAGGAAAGAAGAGCTCAAAAAAGTCTATTCCTCAATTCCAAAAAATAATAGCAGTCTTTTTAATTTTTTTGTAACTTACCCACTAAAATTCCAAGTTAAAGACGGAAAAAAAATCATCAAGAGACAAGGATCAAGGTTTATCTCCTACAGCAGGAACCAAATTCAGAAGAAATCCAAAATCAAAACAAAAGACAGTTCACAGTGGACTTTGATGAAACCTCAGTGACTGAAGGCTTTAGGCATTTATGTAGAACCAGTTCTACAAAACTGCTTTTTTCCAGAGTTCATGATACCAAAACTCACCTCAGCAAGCACCACACCATTCAAAGGGACTTGTGCTGCACAGGTGTTGGCTTGCAAGGCTCAGCTGTTCCATGGAGTTGAAATCACCTCCAGATCTTCTTAAGCTTATTTCTTGGGCTGCAATGCCAACCAGCCAAACAGCCTCTTCCCCCTGCTGCTGATTTAGGCGGGGTCAAAGCCTTCCCTGAGAACAGCTGATACCTCTGGGGCTGGGGGCAGCTTTGCTTTAGTCACCGGGCTGTGCTGTGTGAGAGCAGGAAACACCCCCAGGCTGTACCTCTGTGTGCCCCCGGTACCTTCTACAGGGGGAGCCTGGGGTGTTCTGCAGGGTGTGCTGGCAGCAGCCACACACACCTGCTCACTGCTCTCTTCTACAGAGCTCTCAGCCACTCTGATAAGCAAAGCTGCTTTTCCTTTTGGCAATAAAGAGTGACATTGTATTCCAAAGCCAAAAGTGTGAACCGAGCGCCTCATTCCATTAACATTACCCTGCAGTTCGTAGGGGTGGGTTTTGACAGCTCATGCACCACACTGATTCTCCCCTTTGAAAGTGCACAGGGAACAACAGGGTGCTTGAATGTCAGGCAACTGCTGCTCTTTTGCAGAAAACCACTTTTATTGGACTTGATAGGAAAACTACAAATAGAGGTAGAAAAATAGTCTGAATCTGTGCTGTGTTTTTCATCAGACAAATGACTTCCCTAGAACTTTCATTTCAAATACTGGATTATCTTCTTTAATAAGTAAAAATCCAATGAGTTCACACTGACAAGATAGCATTTATTTTACTGTAGGGAAATGCATCAGTACCTGCAAATCAGTTTCTTGCAAGATGCAGGCCCTGAACAGAGAGTTCCTTAGATATTCACAGCAATCAGTGCACTGTTTTGTAAGCACCAGCCCACAGATCTGAAGCCCAGCTTGTAGCTTCTCCTCTGTTCTTATTAAAACACAGTCACACTCAAATGTAAAAGAAGGTGTTGTGCAATTGCACCCAAATGCCAAAAACACTGCTTTCCTGGGAGTTCAGTATCACTCTGGCTAGAAATATGGTTGCAGATTAGCAAGATTATATATCTGGAAATTATCAGTGCAAAGGAAAGAGGTGACAGGCCAGGAGTAAAAGGAACTTTTCCAAGGATTAAGGAAGAAGAAACTAAGTATGTGAAATAAGGCACAGTCTGGGCACCTCTGATTTTTACAATGCTCTGGTCACCAACACATTGTTAAGAGATATTTTTGGAAGCTCTCACTGAGTGCAACCAAAGAACATTTAGTCCTCTGTTATGGACTTGCAGCCAAGAGACAAAATTGTGATGAAATCCTTTGATGCTGGCAAGAGAAATGAAACTGCCTAAGTGAAATACTGATGCACAAAGTATCGAGGATTGGAAGGATACAAATGGCAAACTGCTGAACTGGTAATACAGAGTACCAGTCCTAACTAAATAACTTTATAAGGAACAAGAAGAAGAGGAAGAGACACTATGTACACTATAGTATTTGGCAAAAGGCACAACAGTTTAGCTTTGAGTTCAAATTTAGGCAAAGATGCGATGTAAATCTATTTACTACCTTACTTATCGTACTGCAAAGGCGACACCAGCTGAGAAGATCTTCTGCATCCTCTGGCCCAACAGGCTCCATAGCCAGCTGGGTTGTATCCCCCTCTATGTGGCTACCTAAGTCTTTCTGGAAGCTGAATTTGGCCTATTCTGGGAAAAGTGTTATCCATCTGCACTGTGGAAAAAAACATTCTGTTTCTCTATCATTTCTCTAGATATACTCACCCCCATATGCTGGAGTCATGGGAAACAGCATGAATCAGACAGCTCTCAAAAATCACTGAAGAAAGTCTTATGGAAATGAAAACAATTATCAGGAAATCACAGGAAACAAAAATCAAAATTTCAGACCATGTCAGTATTGATATGTCTTGGAAAACACTATTTTCTTAGGATATTATTATTCCTCTTTACCAACTCTAATAATTCATGTCTCTTGCTCCAGGGATTAGATAAAGATCAAGAACAAAATATGTTTTCAGAAGACTACGATTCAGCCTTTTACTTCATCCTGCCAGGATCCATTAATCAGTGTTCTCCCTCTGGGACAGGCTGCTTGGACAATGGTCCTCATGAGGTACAGCTCTTTTCACTTTCCTGGGCTCGTTTTAAGATTGTTTTTCCCAGTGTGTGCATACATCTACATCACCATAACATATAATTTGAAGTAAAGTGAAGGTCTTCTCCCAAGAATTAATGTTCTTTAAAGAAAATGGACATAGCACAGTAAAAAAGACTAACTCACAGGACATGAAAAAATCCTTTTTTTTCAGGGAAAAAGGAAATGCCTGAAGTCTGGATTTTAAAACCTGCTGTTCTGAGAGTGCTGCCCACCTACTGCACACATGGCTCTGCTGCCTGCAGGGTCTCTGGACAGCATTAGTACAGTCTTCAACAATAAGTCCCCAAAATGCAGAGTTAGAGACTGCATTGGTTCAGGCTTTTAGGAAGTTTTGTTAAGAGCTGCAGACATCTTGTCAAAGCAGGAGTAATAAAGGAGCACCACAAGGCAGTAAAGGTAGTTATTATGGGACTCAGAGAGATCTCAAAATCTGCCAGGAGGTAAAACACTGCAAAAACTACTTCAAATAAAGTACAAAAGTGTACATGCTGCCAACTCACTGAGCTGCTGTAAAATTACTTTACTTTAGAGGAGTTAAAGAATATAGCAATCATTCCTGAAAGAATAGGTTCTCCCATGTTTTCCTGGTGATGAGATATTTATTTTTTCTCCTTTGTGTCAATTGGCTGCCTCTTTTATCTTTTATATTGCACAGCACAATCAGATAGCAGTAATTCTCAACAAGCCTGATCCTATCCAAACTGAAGTGAATGGAAAACTGCCAATTGGGCTCAAAGGGAAGTGAAAATGAGTCCCCAGATTAGGGAATAATAATAATCAATGTGGTAACAAGCTAAGACTTCAGTGTTCCTTTTACTTTTATTTTGTGTGGCTTTAATTCTTTGCTTTAGGGAGATAATGATGTGGGGGCATGTAAAAAGAGTCTTTTGCTCATACACATTAGACATGCAGATGCCATTTCTGTCTCTGGACTGACATAAACAGAGGCTGTATCATAAGCAGTGTAAATTGCAAAATATCCTCAGTGGAGCTCTGATTTATAGGGATTAACTGGCCTGGAATTTATACTTCCAACATTGACAAAGGCTTGATATTTCCCTGTGAGGAAAAGGCCAGTCCACTGTTGCCCTGAGAATACATGCTCAGACAAATAATAGAGAAGTTATTCAGCTGCTCCTGTTGTCCCACCTGATGTCTATTTGAATAGTTCTCTTCAGAAAGCTGCTGTGATTGCTCCTAAACCTGTAATTTCAAACTGCCGATTTATGCAAATCTTTTATAAAAGAGTTCACCCTCTGTGAAACATTGGCTGAATTAAGGGGAGATTATGCATTGGTTTTGAGCAAGTTCTGTTGTCCTTTGATGATAAAGGGGCTATACCGAAGGCAGCAAGTCCCAGAGGCTTCCAGTCTCTACAGAACTCTCTTGGAAGGGGAGGCAAAGCATATCCATCAATGGCCTCATATCTTAAGGCAGAGGAAGATTCACAGGGCCAAAGCAGGAGAGTAGAGGGAGAGCTGCATTTCCTCTTCTGAATTACCCTTCAAATTCGACAGACCAGCAGCCTGTGCAGCTCACTCTGTGTCCCCCTCCTCCCCAGGCTGCCTCAGCCTTCTTGCCGGAGGCTGAAGGAGGTCTTACCCCTTCCTGCTGCTCCTCTGTTTGGTTTCTGGAACAGATCTGCCTTCTGAGATTAAACTGGCTCTCTGAAATCACTGTTACCATGCGCTTTAAAACACTGCCCAAGTCCACTGCCATTTTTGAAGAGAGGTCTCGGAAATACTGTGTTGCTGCAAATTTTGTGAAAACGAGTAGCCAGGCACAGCAGCGAGCCCTTGTTAGTTCTCCTGCGAGGGAAAGGCTGCAGGGGCCGCTGGCAGAGCTCAGCGGAGACGGATCGTCTAAGGAGGGGCAAACACAAGGGCGAGAAGGAGGAGAGACCCCTGACACGGAGAGAGCAGAGATCATCTCAGGGGCCTCAGGGCCACGGGAAAGAGCTGCAGATACGACGTAGGGCACGAACCATAGGAACAGGGCAGGCAACCGAGGCTGTCCCGCCAGCGGCTGCGAACGAGGAGGAGACTGGGAGAGGCGCCGGGAGAGCGGGCGGGCGCTGGGACAGTCACTGCACGGGCTGGGCAGGGACCGGCCCGCGGGCAGCGGGAGCGGGGCTCTCTCACCGAGTCCCGCGTAGAATCCCAGAGAAGTTGATTTTGGTCGTGGGCTGGATCGTGCTGGTGCATCCCCCGCCCCCAGCCCGCGGCCGCGGTCCGGGAAGTTCGGGCTCACCGGCGCCGTCCCGGCACCGGGCACGGCTGGGCTGGGCTGGGCTGGGCTGGGCTGGGCTGGGCTGGGCTGGGCTGGGCTGGGCTGGGGAGGGAGGGCAGAGCAGAGCAGAGCAGAACCGGGCTGGGCAGTGCTCGGCTGTGCTGTGCTGGGCAGAGCGGAGTAGGGCAGAGGAGGGAGGGCAGGGCAGAGCTGGGCTGGGCTGTGCCGGGCAGGGCTGCACCGCCCTCCCGCCGCCTCCCAGCCCGGCCGGCCCCTCGCTCCGCCCGGCGGGGCTGTGGCGGTGCCGACACAGCCGGAGCCGGACCGGGCAGCACCGCGGGCTCTCTGCGGGCACCATGGGCCAGGACGGGCCGTGGCTCAACCTGTCCGGCAGCGCCTGTGCGGCGGGCGGGCCCTTCGCCGCGGGCACGGCCGCGCTGCTGGCCGCGCTCATGGGGCTGCTGGTGCTGGCCACGGTGCTGGGCAATGCCCTGGTCATCCTGGCCTTCGTGGTGGACCGGAGCCTCCGCACGCACGGAAACTTCTTCTTCCTCAACCTGGCCGTGGCCGACCTGCTGGTGGGTGAGTGCCGGGGCGCCGCGGGGCCGGGCTGCGGGTCCGCCCGTGTCACCGCCCTGCTCTGTCCGCAGGCGGCTTCTGCATCCCCCTCTACATCCCCTACGTGCTGACGGGCGAGTGGAGGCTCGGCCGGGGCTTGTGCAAGCTGTGGCTGGTGGTGTACTACCTGGTGTGCACCGCCTCCGTCTTCAACATCGTCCTGATCAGCTTCGACAGGTTCATCTGTGTCACCAGAGCGGTAAGGGCCGGCCAAGGGCTGCGGAGGGGGGGGCAGGTTTTGCTTAGGGCGCCTGGCTCTCGACCCCCCGAACCTCTCTCAAACACCACACGTAGCAGGCGGTTCCCCTCGGTCGCGATCGGCTTTGGTAGAAAATGCCTTTTCTTCTCACTTTTACAGTGGAAGAGGTGCTCTGCTTTAGAAACGGGCACAGGCTGCGTGTGCAGAGGGAACAGGGTGTACTTACTTCCTCCCCAGCCGCACCTTAAGCGTTAAGCTTAGAAAGTGTTGCTCAGCTGAACTAGTCCGGCTCCCTCAGAACACGGCAATGCACGTGTCGCCACTGACAGCCCAAGCCAGCCCAGCTGCAGCACGAGGCAGAGAGAACTCCTTGCAGTGGGTGCCGAACTGTACCCGGGGCAATGAGGTGTGGACAGCTGGGTGGGGTTGAAAAGTGGCAGAATATAAATCAAGGTTAAGGATGCAAATGCTATTTCCATGTACCGGCCACAGGAACAGCTCGAGCCGCACCTTCAGCCTGTCAGCCAGCAAAAAAAGGAAGACTAGACTTTGCAAAATCAAAAGCCAGCTTCATTTTCCTCTAGACCGTACTGCCTCAAAGTATCCTGGATGGTGCCAAAATAACACATTTTACCCTAACAGGTTTCACACTTCCACACACACGTCTCAGTTATGTTTCACCCCATTCCACCCACATTTCCTTAAAATGTTCATTTCGCTTCCTTGCTCATTCTAAATCACAAACAGTAAAAAGAGAGGCTGCAGCACCAATTCAACAGTTTATATGCACCTTGGTGTTTTACCAACTTCTTTTTCACGAGGGAGAAATGAACAGATTTATTCTCAACAGTCAACACTCAGAATTCCTTTATTATCTAGGTTCTGAATTAGCCATGAATTTTCTTTCATTGACCAACCTCTCATGACTGTGCACATAGTATAAATATATAAACTAGATGGTTTCAGAAACAGAAAGGGAAACTGGTCAAAATAAATGAAAAAGATCATCCACTTGAAAATACTTCAAATTAACCCCTCATATAAAAATCTCTCCCCAAGCAAGAGTACAGAAAATGCCTGTTGGATTAGGGCAGTGTAAGAACATATGAACATCTGAAGTTCCAATTTATTCTCCCTCTCAATGCAAATGCTAATTCCTACAACTGTTCCTGAAATCATGAGTAGCTTTGTCAAGGATTGCAAAATCAGACCCAATTCAGACAAACTCAGGATTCCTCAGCTGTGTGGCTCTTCTGCCAGAATGGCACTGGCTGTGGAGATGAAGATCCACAGATTGGGGCAGTAATGTAAATCCTGGACAATCCAAGCTTGAGGACTTCATATTCCAAACACTGTGCAGTCACACTGGAGATGTGAAGATGGAATTCCAAGTTACTGTATGAGTATTTGTCCAGTACACCAGGGAATGAGAATACTGAGAAGCAGATGATCTAAAGATTCTGATGAATTCTATTGCTGATATGGATTACTGACATACTCACTATTTTTGCACCTTAGCTTCTCTAGTTTCTAACAGAAATTACTCTTCCTGTAAAGTACTTTTCAGACCTCAGCGCTCCATTTATAAATCTTAACTGCAGATAGGAACTCTGTAAGTACCTCATGAAAGAATGAAATTAAGTATACCAAACAGGAAATAGATATTATACATTAATTTTTTTGTGTGTGATTTTCACAGTAAGAAAAAAATCTCTCTCTACAAAGCAGAAAGAACTTGCACGAGTGTTCTGTGAATACAAATCCTTTTACGTATTTCAGATTAAGTTACTGAAAAATTTAAAATAAGTGAATTTTGAAGGGGTGTGTTTTTAACCATTCTGTAAACAGGTATCACAGCTAATGTGAAGCAACTGATGACAACCAATTCTAGGAATAGCAGTGGTTATTTGCTGTGAAACAGATTTGTTTTTCTAGCTTTTAAGATCTGATACCTGTACTCAGAACTTATCCAGTCACCTTGATAACATTTCTTGGAATGGATATTTTAGAAATAACTTTTCTGTGGTATTGGAAAGCTTGGTATAACCCTCCTTCCAAAACCACTCTGTCATCAACCCTCCCAAGTGACAGAGAGGGCCACATTCCAAGGCAGCCTGTTTAACACACCTGTAATGTTTGTGACTTAACTTTCCTCTCTCAGGTCAGTTACAGGGCTCAGAAAGGGATGACCAGAAATGCAGTACTGAAGATGATGGCTGTATGGATTGCTGCTTTTCTTCTCTATGGTCCAGCCATTCTCAGCTGGGAGCACATTGCCCAAAAGAGCATCCTCCCTGAAGGAGAGTGTCATGCAGAATTTTTCTACAACTGGTATTTCCTGATGATTGCCTCTACCTTTGAATTCTTTACACCTTTTATCACTGTTACATACTTTAACTTAAGTATTTACCTCAACATCAGGAAACGCACATCCCTCAGAAACGAAAGCCTCTCACCTGGTCAAGAGAACTGTGAAATGAGCTTCCAGGGGAAAAAAAGGGAACACGCTATATTTTTTGTGAAGCCAACTAACAGAGACAAACACAGGAAGGCAGCAAGCAGCCTTCTTCCCCCAAGAAAGACTTCAAGGCTTCAAGCCTCAGCTGAGCGTGGCAGTCGCTCATTAAATCTGAAAGTCAGTCCCGACCTTCCACCGCTGCAGGTGGATGTGAAGATGAAGCCTCTTGGGAATGGTTTCTACAAAGCCACAGAAAGCGGCTGCAACGCCCCCAAAGTGGACTTTGCCAACACTGTGGCAAATAGATTGAGACTTTCCCGGGACAAAAGAGTAGCAAAGTCTCTGGCAATTATTGTCTGTGTGTTTGGTTTGTGCTGGGCTCCGTACACACTTCTGATGATCATCAGAGCAGCCTGCCACGGGCACTGTGTGCACTATTCCCTCTATGAGATTTCATTCTGGCTCCTGTGGGTGAATTCAGCCATTAACCCTGTTCTATACCCACTGTGTCACATGAGCTTTAGGAAAGCCTTTATAAAGCTCCTGTGTCCAGGCAAGGCCAAAATTCACCCTCATATTTTTATGTGAGAAGTATGAAGGCTGACAATTGGTCCAACTTGCTATTGGTGGGAGCACCAAAAGGCAAGTATTGCAATACTTGCAAATATGAAGTGCACTGGGTATTTTATGGAACACTGGTAAGTCCGTGCAAGTGTAGATATTTATGAATATACAGAAATACAGTCATCCATGTAGCTGCAGAAATCACAGGAATGCAAAGTCATTTCTCAAAGCTCCTTGGGAAATTACACCAACAGTGTATTTTCTGGTAATGGTGCACTAGCATAGAAGTGCTGAAAACGGAATACAACATTCATGGCCAATAATTAGAGTCACTTTTAATAACTGTAAATATTGCTGGTAAGGAAGTCAATGAAGTATTAATCTGGGATCAGTGATATCTTACCCCAAAACCCCTCTAAGACACCAAGGGGCTCAGTTGTTAAGTGCTGGAATCTACTCTAGTCAAAACCCTTCTCCATACAGGACTCAGGGGCATTACTCTATGTTTTGCTGTTAAGGACAGAGTAAGCCTAAGTAGTCTGTGAGATCTATAACAGACAGATCTTGTTATAGACAGAGCTTTAGGTAAACTGCCCTTGGAGTAATTTTTAAAACACTTCTAACTGGACTTTTACTAGTTCTGGTTAGTCCTGAAAGAAAAAAAGCCTTGTTTTCCCCTACCCCACCCCTTGGATCTGTCTATCCATCCATCCATCAAGTCATCAGTGATCAAAAAAGTATTACATGAGGTGTTTAGACATTTCCCAGGTCATGCATCATGAATGGCATGGCTCAAAGCCCATTAAGATTTACAGCCTTGCTACTGACCATAAGTGTGCAAAACAAGAACAAACATAATTACACAGTGTTTCTGCCATTCTGCCTGTGCCCCAGGAGAAGCTCACACAGTTGGTTCCTGAGTTCTGACTGGATTTGTCCCATAAAAGGTGTCAATTTGAACATAACTAATGATACAAGTTTGTACCACCATCACTGGCACTCACTCCATAACCTGACAGATGCTTTCCTTTGCTGACAAGTGAGAGCTATTGAACAGCTGTAGTTGTCCATTGCCACAGGCAAAATGTATGTTAGTACAATTGATCTTAAAGTTTACAGGCAGTATTTTGAAATTATTTACTTTGTAAAATTTCAATAAAGGTAATTAAGAGCTGTGGAAGAGTCATGACTTTGTAGCCCTAACAAGTGGGAGATGGGGAGAAAGCACCTGTCTATGACATCTGGGTAACTGCATTTGATACTACAGAACTCATTGCAAAGACAATTCCTAATTTACAGGGACTGACACTGATGATTAAACAAACATGGTTAGCAAGTACTATAAACTAGGATGGCATATCCCTACACTATGAATGTATCTACATGAACACGATCATAATGTCTGCTATGGATGTGCTGAAACAAAATAGCTTAACAGTTCCCTTCAGAGGAACAGCATCAACAGATACAGAGCAACATTAAGATTTTTGAAGTAGCGTTAATTGTACCCCTGGGCAAGTAAAGCCCTTAGATTATCTCCCCATTCCTCTTCCCCTCCAAGCCAGACTTATTCATCAGTATATCAGTTATCCAATTGTTGTGTACTCTGCAATTCTTGTTTCCTAGGATCTTACTTGCCTTTTTCAGAACATAGGTAGCACTAAATTACTGAACAGTCACCCCAAAATCTCGTTTACTATCCAGTCAAGCCAGGACACATTTTTAGTGGTCACTCAAGGAGTAAGGCAATTCAATCAGTTATCTTTAGAACACTGTGTTCAGTAAAGGTAAACCAGACATGTCAAAACTTACAGCAACTGGCATTAACCCACAGACAGACCAGTTTCACAGGAGCTGTCACTGGCACTTGCTCCATGCTTAGTTTCCTACAGCACTGTAGTTTAATTGCCACTTATCTCTCTAGCACAGAATCCAGGAGGATTCTTTATCCCTCAAGGTATGTCATAAAAGCACTCTGAAACACGAGCACACATCAGCACAGCATCACTTGGAAAACTACTGGTCTGAATGATAAACTTCTAATTAGAAGTGCCAGCAGCCTCCCAGCTTGTCCTGGTTAACTTGCCTTCATTCTTCTGTCCCTACAAAGCAGAAGTTCTTTCACTCTTATCAAAAGGTTCAACATTAGCTTTGGGTTCAACAGTGGGCTCCGAAGAGACATGAAACAACAGGTGTTAATAGCAACTTTATTGTTCCACTGGTGCAAAATCATGATACTGAATAAACTTGTGTAATGCATTTTCCCCTAAATTTACAGTAATGAAGGTTATACATATCTATATAGATTGCAATTTCTCTATTTTTTATACTATTTGGAACAAAATTATCTTGATAAATATGCCCTGTGCACAGTACTGGCCCTCGCTGAATGTCACAGAGCCTTAATATGCAAAATATAACTTCTGTTTTTGAACATGGTACTTTAAAACTCTCCAAACATGCATTAATATATTCTAGCTTTTAGGGAAAAATATTACACTTAGTCTTAACTTGCATTAAAAGGAAAGCACAAGCAGAATTTGACATACAATAATCCCAAAAATCTGATGCTCTGTAAGGATCGGACACAGTTTCAGATGACAGTCACTGCCAGTTTAGAGCTCTAGTGCTACAGAAGCAACAGTGAACAGACAGAAGAGAAATCAGAACCAAAGAGCCCTACCATGTCACATGGATTTCAAAGGAAGTTTCAGCCATGCTAACTGATGAAACCTGTAGTTGCTGGTCCAACCTTTCAAATTTGTTAGAGTACTCAACACGAGTGTTTGAAGTGCCAGACTGAACACATGAATGTTAACTTAACTTGACATTTCTGAAAGGCACAACCTAGGAATCTATCTTAAAAAAAACCAAAAAAAACATACAGTATGTAAATGAAAACAGGTACAGTGAGTGTCTACCTAAAGAACAAGACCTTCATAAATTGGCCCCTCAGATTCTGGTGATTCCCTCCTCAGACGCAAGTGCTCCAGTGTGTTGTGAAAGTGTTTGTTAATTTGTTCTGTTTCTTCAGTAGACTCAAGGTTTGGGAGATCTTCTCTGATCTTCTGTATAAGCTGATTCAAAACCTGAATTGTCACCTACAGAACACAGAACAGGAGTCATCAACATCACCTGTGTACAAGTGCATAGACAGTAGTTTTAAGAGACTTGTCTCTGAACTATTTGTATGGGACAGTTCTTCAAAATATTGGTAAGACTGTATGCAGACAAACTCTTGGGGGCTGCCTTCTCTTGCTCCTCACAGAACCCTTCCAATTTCAGTTTTGTGGAAGTTCTCCCATCCAAGCAAATGTAAAGAACTTAAATATTTATCCTGATAGCTTTGTAACTGCTACCACAGCATTTCTTTCCAATGTATTCAATGCAAATTTAGAAAGCTGTAAACAAATGATGCACATAATCAGACTGTCTATGCACTCTTAATTGTTTTTGTACAGTCAATATGGTAATGTCATCTAAGCATCTCATCTAAGTCCCAGCAAGTTTTGATATAATAAACATTTCAGGTATCCAAGTCTCACAATATTTAAGTTCATAACTAAATTCCAAACATTTGGCATTTTCCCCCCATGTAAGAAGAATGAAGTTTAATCCACAGTTTTACTTGCATATCAAGAATTGACTACCCTGTTTTTTAATCACCAGAACTTGTGCCTCTCGTGAGAGATTACAGGGCAAGCTGAAGAGACATAATTTGGGGCAGAAGTGTGAATAAAGAGCTTAAAGAAATGTTGTTTAAAAGAGAACGGATGTCTACTCACCGCCTCATTTTCCTTTTCATAAAAATAGATATATCTATTCAGAATTTCTATGAAGAGCTGGACCTGGAGAGAAGGGTCCATGCACTGATTTGCTATCTTCAGAGCCTTCTTTAGGCATTCCATCACTCTTTTTCCTCCGTGAAGCTAGAAGGAAGAGTCCAAGTTAGGAGAAATAAAAGAACTTTAAGAAGCTCCACTATCTCTTCCCTTGGCAACATATGGCATCTCCTAGGGGTCTGCCACAGAAACACAAAACTACACAAACTGTGCAGAGCAAGCTGTCACTGAAAGCTGTCCTTGCCTGACTGCCACCAGTATTAGACTTTTTTTAAAATCAGACAGTAACATGAACAGTTGTTGAGAGCCTTCAATTATGAGATCAATTAACTCAATTTTGTAACATGTACCATAAGGCATACTTTGAGAAACATGTTTCAAACACTGCTCTTTATAATGACAACAGCTTATGTGACAAGCCCTGAAGAACAACAGCACTTTTTTTTTTACCTTTACCTTCAACAATTTGTATCTTTAATTTGGAAGTTTAGTAGTTCACATGCAAGCACAGCTACTGTAATACACACATGCAAAATGGAGCCTGTCTTAAACCAGCTGACACTCAAAAGCTTGCCTGGTACTTCCACCCTTAAATTAGAATTTTCTCCCTTTTGGTACTTACACAGTTCACACTGCACTGAGATTTAAAAACTTCATATATGAGCATATATTCCAACCAAATCTATATCACTGATATAACTACTTTAGAAGTGTCTTCAGAAGAAAGGCAGAGCAGTTACCGAGGTAGGATGTGCTACACTGTTGTCACTTTGTTCTTACCTCCTCTCCATTCTTGTCAGTATTTCGGCCAGACCAAAACAGATGGGCACAAGTGCTCACAGCCCTGCACTGGTCTGGCTTTTTCAGGAGTTTAGAGGCTGCCAGTGCACACTGAGTCCTCAAAGGCTCGTGGTTCTCCTCACTGAAGCACTTCATCCTCTCAAATGTCCCAATTATCAAGGTGATTGCAGCCAGCTGTGCTTTTGAGTCACTGATTTCATCTTCATAGAGAGAGAAGGCCTAGTCAAGGGAGAAAGTAAGACTCAATCAGAACACATCAGGAAAAAAAATCACACCTGCTAGTGGCACAGCAGGAAACTGTCCAGTTTTACACTTGTTCAAAGCTTCAGGCAGGAAAAAAGATCTTTCATTTAGAATGTTAAAATCAAGTTAAATCCACAGACCAGAAATAAGTCTTGCAAGAAATACTATTCAAGTAGTCACAGGAAAAAAAAATGACATCCCACATATATTCTAAAAATGGGGTTTTCCTCATTTCAAGCACCTGTTCAGACACAGAACTTCAGCAGCAGAAATAATTCTTGAAGAGTATTTGGTTCTTTGAAACACACAAACAGCAGAGCAGAGGTTGAGTGGTAGGTCAGTGATGACAGAGTAGGCAAGAAAAGCACTTGCACTGCTGCCACATGGATGAAGAATCTTTAGAGAACAGACAAGACTAAAACCTTGAACCGTATCTCTAATACAAAGTACACTTTTGTCATGCTGCTCTCATCTTCAGAATGGAGCTACAACGGCAACTGATCCAAGGCTGTGAGCAAAGGCCGAGTTTATCAGCAATTCCATTTAAAAAACATGCATTAGTAGCAGTATTAGAGGAAAGATAAGGACAAAGCTTACAACGTGGATAACATGAAATACATTGGTTCTTTATCTGATGGGGAGGAGGGGAAGGTTTTTGCAACAAGTAAGGCTTAAGACCAAGGAACAAGTTCACATGGATTTTCAGAGTAGTTTATAATAGGTTTCAATACAAGGATTTTAATTAGCAAAGCCCAGCATAGCAGTTGTGAACACTGCAAATTTTAGAGAACTTCCTAAGAGCGTGGTCAGGGCAAAACCAGCTGGATAACAGGAGCTGGGAGGCAGAAGCAGTGAAGGAGCATTTTATGTTGAGAAAGCTACACTCCTCCAGTGAACCAACTACTCGAGTAGGAGGCAGCATTGCAACATACCACATGTTGTCAGACTGAGTACTCAAACCAGTAGCAATGGAGCTTAATCCCACAGCAGCCTGGGAAGCAAGAAGGAAGATGAGGATTTTCTACCCAGTAGCATTAATCTTCCATCATTTCAAGTGTTTTAATCACACTGGATGGTTCAGTGTTCAGGAAACCTATCCCAGTCAAATTAAAAGGTAGTACATGAGACCAACTGCAATAGCTGGACACTCACCTGGGACATGAATTCATAGGCCACAGTTTCGTGATTCTCAAAGCCAATCTCTCCCGCAGCCAGTGCTCCCTGCAGGAAGAGGCGGAGGGGCAGCTCTGCCAGCTCTGCTTTGATCAGAGCACTGATGGTCTGATGAGCA